TATGGACCAGCCTGGTTTGGGTTGGATCCATTTGAATCAAAATCAATTTGAATGGGTTAGTATTGAATTGGACTAATCCAAACTTAATGGTCTAAAGTATTCATGAGATTGGATTAGAACTATTATAGATTTATATTGGATTAGGTTGGATTGAACCAATATCTGTTCAAAGATAAGAGTATGGGTGTCAATGGATCAGGTTTGGGCTGGATCCGTTCTAAATTGAAACTAATTTGAACAGACTGGACAGTCCGGTCCAGACATTAAACATAATTGGAACAGTGCAAAATGGTCCAAAGTATTCAATGCATTGGATTGGACCTGATCCATCTATAATGGATTCATATTGGATCTAGTTGGATTGAATCAATATCCGGTCCATTAACAGTCCTACGGTGTATTGTATTAGAACCATACATGAAGAACGATCAACCTGTTTACTTATCTAGTTCAGGCCTTTATTCGTTGTTTTACAGAGAAAGCTATCTTTGGGGCTTGTCTAGGTCAGGTTGAAACTTCACCGGTGAAACTTGGTTTAACCATGAGATTACTTCATGTTTCTGGAAAAGGCAAGGATTCTATAGTTTTTAATTGGATAAATTTCTTAAACTATCCTTACTATTTGTGAAATTGGAATAGTATATCCTTATTGTTTGACTATTTTCTAATGCAATTCCTATTGTTTCTTACAATTGACTAACTCCATTAGAGCACCATGATCTATGCACATGTGACCCCATGTGACCTATAATTTTTTTTCAAAACCCAATATTACCCTCACCCCCTGAACCCCCACTCTATCTCGATTCTCAGACCTCCCCCTCCGCCTCTGGTCTCTCTCTCCTTCCCTCTTCTTCTTTCTGTAATTCCGCTATAACCAAAGTTTCGAAACCTTAGAACCGGAAAACCTTAAACCTTCGCCTTTGATCTTACCGAGTTCTCTCAGCGCCCTGTGAGCTTTGCGTCGATGGAAGCTCTCCTAGTACTCAAGGGATCACTGATATCAGCATCGGAATCATCGCTCAGGCTTGCCCAGGCCTGAAAACACAGTCACTCTGGAACTGCACCAAGGTTGGAAACAAGGGATTTGAATCTATTGCGATAGGTTTCAATTCACTCGAAAAGCTCGATCTTGTCAACTTGCCAATTGTCGATGATGGATGTCTCCTCGCCATTGCTAAGAACTGCCCCAGTATATCTTGTTTGGCTATAGACTCATGCCCACTTGTCGAAGACACGTCCCTTGAAGCTTTTGCAAGATATTCTTCCAAGATTGAGTGTCTCTCTGTGTCCAAGTGTCCCCTAATCAACGCTACTAGGGTTATTTTGATCATTTCAAGCTTGCCCAACCATTCAAGGCTTAAGCTTGTTTCCCTGACTCTGAGCGACATCGTGCTTGAAGCAATCGGAGGACATGGAAAATGTCTAAGTTGCCGCTGCTAGAAGTTGCAGCGCAGTTCTCTGTTAAACTGTGGCATCGAACAATTCTGAAAACTATCATGGGTTCGTTTGCTTGGGACAAATTCAGACAGGCATCCAAATCCTGGTTCTTAACTAGTTGGGTCCGTGTATTTTATGGTTAGAGTTGAGGGGGGAAAACAAACTTTTGGTCGGTCTGCCTGGCATTCACTCGGGTTCTCTGGTGAATTTACCAAAGTTTTGGTGTGTAGGAAGTTGCAGAGCCAGTCCTGAGATTGTTCTTCGGGAGGTGCGGTTGGAAGATTGTTGGGAAGTAGCTGAGACGCATTGTAGTTCCTTCTTCCCAAACTACTCTTTTCCATTGGATTCGGTACTGAGGGTTGACAGGCTGGTGGCAATGCTATCTGGGTTCTCTATTCCCAACGGTTGTAGGAGATCGTGTCTAGTTGCTGTTGTTGGTGGCTCAGTTGATGACAGCTTTGCCTTGGGAAGTAAATAATCCAAAATAGGAGAGTTTGAAGGGAAATTCAGCTTCAACAGGGGATATATTGCTGGAATATTAGCAGTGGATACAGTGGCTGATTTCCTTCCTCGCAAAGGACCACTGCGGCAGAGAAGGTTAGATTTTTTAACAGTGGTTACGGTGGTTGATTTTTCTCTCTTTTTCCTCTGGGTGACGGCACCGCCCTGTAACTCCACCCAGCGGCGGATCACCCGATCATTCTTCCCTTTCTTTTCCTCATCCTCTCACTATTCTCCCATGTCCGTCTCCCCTTTCCAATTGAAACCGACTCCTATGTTTCGTGTCCCCTTTCCAATTGAAACCGACCATCCAAGTTGCAGCGGCAGCTCTTGATTTCGTCGTTGACCAGTCAACGGAGGAGGCCAACTATGTTCGATTGTTAGGGGCCCGAGATCGGAAAAAGACTTGACAGATTCCGCAAGATTGAAGACTGTTTTTGAGCTCTGCATTTTTTAAGCCGTAAGGCTCTGGACGCCATTGCAAAACCGAATATTTTGGATTCTAAAGGGTAGTTTAGACATTTCGCACGAATTTTGATGGAAGTTAAACCATAAGGGTATAATTAGTCAATTGTTGAAAATGAAAGGCGTAAGGTCAGTCAATTTTCAAACAATAAAAATATAATTAGTCAATTAGCTAAATCATAGGGGTAATTTAAGAAATAAACCTTATGTGTGAGTTTCCCGGACTAGTTTCAATTTAATTTTGGTCATGCATCTTGCTCGAGCATAGGTAGGGATGACAACGAGGCGAGCTTTTCATGAGCTGCTCGAACTTGGTTCGGCTCGGTTTTAACCGGGCTCGAGCTCGATCTCGAACGCAATTCATTGGCTCGATTATTAAACGAGCTGAGCTCGGCTCGTGAGGCTCGCGAGCCATTTAATATATATAATAATATTATAGAAAATAATATATATAATAAAAATATTATAATTCTTAATCTTTTAAATATCAAATAAAAATATTTATATATAAATTTTTTTATTTTTATAAAATATTTTTCTCAAACTCGAATTCGAGCTTATGAATTTTTTTATTCGAACCAAGCTCAAGCCTAGTACTATTCGGCTCGGCTCAACTCGAATCCACCCCTAAGCATAGGCATTGCATTTCTAAATAATCCTTCATTATGAATCCGGTTTCCTTTAGTCTGTTAATGTCAAATCTGCGATATAAGCGCTAGAATTTGGTTAGGACTAGAAACTTTTGAATCCCATCCGACGTTAATGTTAATGTTAATGTTTAGCATTAATTGTCACTTAAATTTCTCTCGTCATTACTTTAGTTGGAGATGCATGTTGAATTTAAAGCTTGAAGGTGCATCTAAATTGAAGAAATTAAAAGGCATTTCATGCAGTCATCTATTCATTGATTTTCCATCTAAGGCCCTCTGGTACGTGTCTATGCTTTCATTATATCTCTGTTTGTAGAGTTTGAAATGGTGGATCTTTTTTTTTCTAAAGTTGATTACCAGGTTGTAGGTTGTTTCAACGTCTTAATTAGATAAAACAAGAGCTGATATCACTTCAGGGGTCTCTTCTATTAATTTGGAAGTTTGGAATCGTATTCATGGCAATTAGCTTAAGTGGATTCAAGCCTTTTTGTTTGCTCAGAACATTGTGAGTCTGTTTTAGAATTTGTGCCTGGTTTGGGCTGAACTTTCCAAACCGTGTATCTTGTAGGATAAGATGGGCATACAAGCGAAACTGATATAGAAAGCTTAAACGAAGAGTGTCCTTCAGCTGGTATATATTTTTGCTACAGTATACAACAATCTCTCCTTGCTCTTTATTCTTATGATTCTAATCCATTAATATAATTCTAAATGCAGTTTCAGTAATATTGATAGAAGTTTTCTTTAATTTCTTGCTTCCACTTCTGTTGATGGTGTAGGTAAATGCATGGTTGCAATTGCTTTAACACAGTCTGGACAAAAAGAGCTGGAAAGTATGAATAATATTATAGTGTGACAAGGGCAAATTTCTCGGTGAGAAGTTAGATATAATAACTTTTATTGGTACTTCATTGACATATCTTCCATATAAAGCTGGATCGTAATTCACGCGTTATACATATATGGAAGCAGATGTTACTATTAAAGCTTTAAGATGATGGTGGCAACAGAAAAATGGTGAATATGTGAATCCATGTACAATATTAATAGAAGAACATTTCATCCTTGTTCCATCTCCCGTTTCAAAGTTAGGTGTGGATCGAGGCTTTCGAAATGTGCAATTTCACTTGCAGTCCTCTTTAGAATTTGGAGAAGTGAAGATAGCAAGTAAGCTTTAAGGGTTTCTGTCTTTTTGAGAGAGCTAAGGGTTTATTCTTCTCTTCTCTTTCCTTCAAAGCTTTCTCCAAAAAGTATTTTTTTTAAGTCTATTTTAAGAAACCTTGGGATATATATTTAAAGTCTTTTACCTAATAATAATATACTCTATATATGTATGTTCTTATTTACAAATTATCAAACAGAAAATGTAAAACAACGTATGAGTATCAATCTTCTTCCTCAGCATGACACATTACCACCCCTACCTCATTTGGCCAACAAAACACAATTTAACCTAATTAACACCTGCCATGTATTGTCAGATGATGTTGGTAGGCTCTTGAAATGTTTTTTTGTTGGCGGGTGATCCTAACTCTTACACAATATCCGGCCAGATCTCCTGCTTACAAAACATTACAGCCGTAGAATGGGAACATCTTTCCCTGAATTAATGATAACATGCAAAATACAGGATATGTTCTCATTAATGTACGCGCGGCTGCATGTTGTGACGCACAGTACCGATGGCGGATGGGATGGGTGAGTGGGTCATTTTATGGAAATATGTATATGTATGATGGCGGAAAAGTACAAGTGTGATATTGAAACGAAGAACTTTGACCCTCTCCCATCACATCAATTTTGATGAAAACCGTGGCTGATTAATAATTAATGTACCACTTTTATGATTCCAGTTGATAAGTTTAATAGCACATCATATCCATACCATGGTTAATAATAAAAACAAATGAAGTAGTGTAGAAAGTACGTAGAACCACAAAAACAAAAAAGGAGGCAGCTCAATACTAAATTAATCCTTAAATGTCAATGGTAAGGCTAAAGTTACTACAAGACTATCCGTCGGGCCAACCCAAAATGTGAATGGGAAGTAAGAACACACAGACACTGGTTACCAAAGTTTATTGGTTAAAAGTAGCAACTAGTGCAGTGTGCATGTGAATTGAAGAAGAAGCCTAAACAGGGCATGGCGCAGGAATCTGGGTGCCACTGTATGTTGCTTTGATGTTTTGGCAGCTGGATTTGGCGGTTCCACCCGTCATGAGCTCTATGTGAACGTCGTGAAGGTTCACATTCTGGCACGGTACTCCTTTGCTGCATTCCAGCATCACTGCCACAGGAGACGACGACGTTCCTCTGATGTTCTTGAAATGCAAGTCCTGCAGCTTCACCCGAGATGGTGCCTGCAATATCCAAAAGATCAAACCCGCCAGAAACAGAGATGTGTGTGTGTGTGTGAATTGAAAGTTTGAAATCCCTATGGCCTATGTTATGCATCAGCTGATGCTTCTTAATTAATTACCGTGGAAGAACAAGAAACATAGGGACAATATGTCTGATCGATTATGATGGGGTTGGCCACATTATTAACCACAATGTCTTGGAACGTCATGTTGGAGGCAACGGTTGAACTGGGTGAATTTTCCCATGTCTTGATTCTGACGCCATTCGTTGTGCCGCTGATGGTGCAGTCTCTCACTGTAACTCCTGTTACGTCTCCTTCGTTCTGGTATCTTCCCAAGCTTCCAATACTAATTAAATTATACACAACATCATCACATCAGTTCGGCCATTTGCAATTAGGATATCTCGGAATAGCTATTATAGAGATTAACTACTAAAAATGGATTCATTCAGTAATATAATTAAACCAGCAATTTACCTGATGCCATGACCAGGGCCGCAAGTCACACCACTGATAGTGACTTGAGAATTGCCATGTCCGATGGAGATGCAATCGTCTCCGGTTCCGATGGATGAATGATATATTTCGACACCGGTGCAACGCTCAATGTGAATCCCATCAGTGTTGGGACTGTTTTCTGGGGCCGAGATCCTGATCTCACTCCCCACGAAGTTCTTGCAATCAATCAATCCCATGTGGAAGAACTTGCTATTCAATGACGTTATGCCTCTCACAACCGTGTTCGTCATCGCAACAAATTTCACATTCTGCAAATCCCCCAAAGAAAAAAGAAAACACCAACATCAACATCCATCGCTTCTTCGCTTTTTTCATTCGTCAAATCAAATCAAACTGTACGTATTATTCACATACCGTAGGAAGAACTTGGCAATTTTTGGTGACGGGGCATTTATTGAAGGACCACGATTCAGCTCCTTGGCCATCAAAAGTCCCATCTCCCGTCAAAGTTAACCCATCCACCCATCCAAATTCTATCCAATCATCCGTTTTTCCATACATTTTCAGGTCCGTTGTGGCCTTCAAATAACCCTATATGCAGAGAGATCAGAGATGGAGATGATGCATCATTATTCATCAAAAATAAAAATACTTTTTATTCTATTTGTAGAAGAATTCAATTCCTTATTAATTCTCTTTTCTCACCTTCATGTCGACGGTGATGGATTTTACATTAGTGCAGGGCCCCGAAAACTTAACAGGACCGACCAGGTACGTCGCTTTGGGGATCTCAAGCGTCACCGTACCTGAGGCTCCGCAGGCTGCCTTCCATGCTTCTGCGAATGCCTGCAATCACAATTCACAAACGCCAGATCCACGGATAACGAGTAATTAAGATGATCATCGTTTATTTAATTCTAATTCATTCTCTTCCAAGTTCCAACTTCCAACACATAAATAAATAACTAAAACAGCTATATCCCATAACCTGACTATCGTCATGTTTTCCGTCTCCTTTGGCGCCATAGCTTATCACATTGAAGGTGCCGCTGGAGCTCTCATTCGCAGTCAAGGTGCGGACTGGGCGGCCGTTTCCGTCAGATGATTTGGTTCTTCTTGTACGGGGTGGCGATACTTTTCCTCCTGAAACGATTTCATTCAACACAAACAAACACAACAACAACAAACAAAACTCGATCTTAACCCTCATGTTCTTCTTCTGGTTTCTCAATTAATATCAATAATAACAATTCTGTCTGTAGATGGTTGCTGACTGTAACTCAGTGGTGCCTCTCTCGTCGGTTGTGTGGTTGATCTTATAAAGGCAAGGTGGAAGTTTTGGATTTCCTTATTTGTCGTCGTAACTCCCTCCTTCCACTACGTTAACTCCCACAATTCCTTCAAAGTTGAAACAAATATTCACTCCGGGCGCCACACTACACAACTTGATCCCCTTACTTCCCTCCCCACCATTGATTTTTAGTAAACAAAACAAATGCCCAATAATAGAACTTAGTCAAGTCTACTTTCATAAAAAAAGTGCTACATTCTCTCAACGTGTGGCCAACTATGAAAACAAACCCACCTGCAAAGACGTTGACACCCATATTAATTAGTGTGTTTCTATCAATTTAATTTCTAATTCAAATAAAATATAAATTATAAAACTTTCAACGTGTGAGTCTCATTATTTTAAATGAAACACGGTTGTAAATTACAGATTCAAGCTAATTTAACTTTTTTTAAATAAGAAACTCAAATTAAATATATCATATAAATAATAAATTTCAAACAGAAAATCATATATAGGTGAAGCTGCCCATATATACTTGGTATGGAATCATTCTCTATTATATAAATTAAAAAAAAAAAAAAAAATCCCTTAGACCATAGCCCATCTCAGAATTGGATGCTCCCACTCTCAAATCAAATCTATCATGCCATTATCAAATACAAATTTACTGGCTTAAACACTTAGCCTACCACTCTCTTATAAAGTAATGGTAGTTAACTCAACTTTCATGAAAATACAAAGATGCTTCTACTCTTAAAAAAAAATGTGTAAGTGGTTAACTAAATTTCTTATAAAACGATTACAATTTCCTAATTCGAATAAAAATAAGTACAAGTAATGTGGCACCCACACTAAGCCTATCTAATTATAGTTTCTTGATTAAAACAATAGAATAGGGACTTTTGTTGGCAGGAGATTGGGAAGTGGTTTATGCATGATGCGGTCACATTAAGAAGAAACCATGCTTAGGGCCAAGTGATAGATAGAATCTGCTCTTTCACTCATTTATAATTAAACAACTACTAATTTTAAATGAAAGGTGTGTGTGGTGGAAAGACATTTAATTTTATTTCAGTAAATAACGAAATTTACTAAAATAAATCATAAAATGATAAAATGAAAATGGCCAAATAAATAAAAAAGCATTACAAGTATGATAAACAAATTTCAGAATTAATAAATTTATAGAAATAAAATGGCTAAGACTAATAAATGTAAATGATAAATAACATTTATCATTAATGAATAATAATGATTGAGTTATTAAAAGAAAAATGATTAAATTAACATAATTAATTAAATAATAAAATTATTGTAAAATTAATAATATAAAATGATTAACCAATAATAATTCACAAATTGATAAAAAGGAATAAAAACGGGAAACAACTGCGAACTTAGCTTATTGGAACAAAAAGAAACCATTAACTTAGCTTATTTTACATTAAGCCATTAATTGAATTCAAACAAAGCCCTCAAACCAGAGGGCTTCTCTTTCAAATCGAGGGGCTTTCTAGACACAAAATTTAATTTTTTTTTTTAAATTAAATACCAAATAAATAAGAAGATTTCTTTCAGTTTCAATTTATTGATTGTGTTGAGATCGAAGCTTCCAAGTCATGACCAGAATCCCATATCCTTAATTGACGCAATTCCCAGGAAATTATGGCTAGAAAGTGGAAATTCTGTTATCCCAAGTTACTTGGGCTTGGAATCTTCTCCAAGAATCTTCATGTTTTTGCTTCCTCTGTAATCTGTTCTCTCACCTCACCTCGGCTCATAGATGCTTCCAATTTCCAAAGCAGATGGGTGAATATCCGTACGGTCGCTTTTCCCATTTTTCTCTTCTTATTATTGGGCCATCATATTATGAGCCTAGATTCATGTGAAACATGGACTGGACTGGACTGGACTGGAGGTGGGCTCTTCATCAAATTAGTTCTGAATCTATAAAGGGCCATAGGATCTTATTTGTGGGCCGGCGTGAAATGCCTCTTGGTCTTGGATTCTTGGTGCAAGTGGACTCAACTGACAGCTCTCTCTTGTTCAGTTTTATTTGCATCCTCTTCCTTGCAAATCAATAACAAACTAGATCGATAGAATACTTGGTTTTGACACGTGGCAATTTGGTTTCCTAACATTTGTAGATGGAGCAAACCCCCACTTTCTTAAACGGCCCTATTTTATTATCTTCGTCAAAAGCTGTAAATTGCCCACAGAACGTGAAAGCATGACATATGCTATAAGCCTATAAAACATACTAAGCGATAGGAAATCAAAAAGAAGAACCAAAGCCAAAAAAAAAAAAAAGAAAGAAAAGAAATACCAAACTTGTGCTATGGTTTTTTTGTGGAAACAATTTTTCTTTTTCTTTTTCACTCTTTTTCCCTTTTCTCCCTGGTGTCCGGTGTGATTAGGACAAGAGGATCCTATGATTCAGTGAAATCACACATCACACATACCGTACATGGTGAATCATGAATCATGAAAGAAGAGCTGAGAGGCTTTTTTGGTGGGTCCTCTGCCTCTGCAGATGGGCGATCGCATCCATCTGAACAGAAGATGTTTTGTCTTATTTGGAGTAGATTAGTGGTTGCGATCATTCGATCTTGTTCCGGAAAAGCTAAGTTAGACCCGTCAAAGCCCATCATTTCGAATAGTTGAGACTTGAAACTCTCGCATTGCTTTCCTCAGCCTTCAGACTTCAGAGTGAGTAGTGAGTAGTGAGTGAGAGGGAGGAGCTTTGAAGCTTGAGCTCATGTCATAATCCCATCCCTCGATATAACCGTTTTCTTGTTTTCATGTTTCGTTTTGTTTCTCTTTGAAAAAGAAAACAAAAGAAGATCAAATCTAGTTTTGATAGAAGACCCCAGTCGCCAGTCCCCAGACCTAGACCAGCGCGCTTTTCTAGTGTTTATTCCATCTTTTGATTCTCATGTCCGGATGTCCCCCTCTACTATATATACCAACCTTCCCCTCCTCTGTTCACTCCCTCTCCTCATTCCAATTGTTTTCATCATTTTGTCCTCTGTCCCCTTCTTTATTCTTCTTTTCCTATCAGTTCATAACATCATCATCAGATTCATCATTTCTCAATCTTGAGATCTTCATGGAGGTATAATTTCCATTTCTTTCCTCATGGGTTTTCTCTATTTGAGTTTTTGAGTGAGATATGCTCCAATCAGTTTGAAAATTGTGGGGTGGGTGGTGGAGAAACTTTTGTTTTTTTTTTTTAAGTTTTCTCCATAGTTACACTTACACAACACAAAGAAGAATAACATTGATCAATCTGGATCTGAATTCATTTGCTTTTCCATCTAAACAACTTCATACTTGCACTGCAGGCTGTCGACTTGAAGGTGGAGATGGTCGGCATACATGAGAAGAGACTTAGAAAATGTTTGTCGAAAATAAAGGGTATAATATTTTTTTTCTTATTATTATTTCTTTTTGAAGTCTTCACCATTTATCATTACACTTTATACAAGCTAAGTTACACTTCTTTTTATGCTTTGCCCAAACTCAAAATAAACAATATCACTTTACTTAACACCAACATCTTTGTCTCAACTCCATTTACCAAAGTATTCTGCTTCCACCTACAGAACATCATCTTCTTCTACTGAACCGACAGAACCATTAATGGATCGAACACCTAAATTTTGTTGAAATCTGATGTAACTAAGCTGATAAGGCAGTCGAGGTGAATGTCTAATTTATGGGTTGATCTGCACAGGGATTGAGAAGGTTGAAGTGGATGCTAGCAGTCAGAAGGTTACGGTAACAGGATACACGCATCGGAACAAGATACTCAAAACTCTCAGGAGAGCTGGTCTGAAAGCTGAGTTTTGGTCTGCGCAAAATGAGTTCCTTACTGCTTACGCCTGTGCCAGTTATGGGTGCCTGAGATTTAATAATTTCAGTTTCTTCTAGTTTTTCTGTTTTTTTTTTGGGGGGGGGGGGGCGTCGTCTTCTGTTTTCACCGATTGCTAATTAAGAGGCTGTGTTTGGTTTATCAGGAAATTAGTGAAGAAAAAGGGGAATTGTGGGAAAGACATTTTGTAAAATTGTTAACTACTTCGGCAAAAATTTGCCTTTCTCACTTGTATTTTCATGAACCAAAGACAGCCTAATATTTGTGGTTTTATTTATTTATTTTCTCTTTGCTGTTCCCTTCCTGTTCTTTTACAAAGAAATCGTCACGTCAATTGTTCCTTGCATAGAATGCAGTGAAGAGGCCCTAGTTTCTTCATTTATGAAATGTCTTTTTGTGGGCTAAACATTATTATTTTTTTTTTTTAAGGTGCACCACCTCCATTTTGTTTGACCAATACGTAACCGTATGGCTAGCTTTAACACATTTGGACTGGATATTGGTGTGGACCCCGGGTCCCCATGCCTTGTTTTGTTGGGTTGGGTCCCCCCATTACCCTGCCCCACAAAGAATCTTTCCACCACTCAATGGGTCCCATCCAAGCAATATCCTTTCCTTAGCAGATGGTTGATCGGTGCAAACAGCAAACGTTGTTGAACTTCCAGACGGCAATTAAACACGCCCGCCAGGGCCCAGGGCCCAGGATAGCTAACTGCATTGCAGTCTGCACTATGCACTTCTGCACCACATAAAAGAAAAAGGTTTTGGACCCATCCAGAGCTGGCCCAGTTTGCAAGCACAACCTTACCTGGGGGTTTTCAAATTTAAAATTAAAAACAAGAAAAAGAAAACGGCATTATAATTGAGAAAAAAACACTGGGCTTCTTCTACGGTCTTGAGATAGCCCAACCCATTCTATCATTGAGCACAGGCATTCCAATTTTCACACCTGGCCATGTGTATCAGTGTGTTGTATTGTATTTCTGTGGATTGTGGAGGGTGGACTCTCTCAGCATGGTACTACTACTACGAGAGGACTTTTAGGCCCTGTTCATTTTTTAGTAAATTATTTACCCGGTTAAACGCAGTTATCTGGGTAAGTTTTTCCTAGGAAACACTTACCCGGGTAAGTGTATTTATCCATATTGTTTTATTTCTCATGTAAATAAGGCAATGATTATTTTAGCCATAAAAATCCATTATGAAAAGGGGTATTTTTGTCCCATTCAAGTGTAGGCAACTTTCCCCCTAGGTGGGAAAGTTATTTCCCACATAGGAGATTGATATCACTTACCCGGGTAAATGGTATCTAGAAAAATAAACTTTCCCTGGTCCCCACATAAATCTAAAAAAAGAACAAGAGATTCTTGGTCAATGGGAACCAAAATCCCATGAAACAACTTTCTCCCTCTCAAAATCCAAAAAAAGAAGGCCCCCTTAAAGGTAACAAAGAGCAATGACAAATAATGGGGGAACCACCAATAAGAAGGATTTCTTACGAAATATCTGCTAGTGCGAGGTATTAGCAAGTATATTTCCTCTAGGGAGAAGGTAGTAGTGGGTCAAATTACTTATTTATATGATATGGGAACCACTTGGAAAATTTTATATAGTGGATTCTCATTCTCCTTAAAATTGGAAGGGAATATTCGAAGCCAGATCTTTATGTTGGAGTGTTGGACCATTGGGAGGAGAGGGGCATTGCAGGGGAAAAGAACTTGGATTTTTGTGCAAGCAGAACATTTTTGTGTTCAAAGCAAGCATCTTTTTCTATTTATCTAGAAATCTCAAAGACTTGGATCGAATAAGAGACTTTAAACCTTAAGTCTGCAGATCTCAAATAAGAGATACATCAAACATGGAAATTAAAGACTGTAAAAGAGATGAGGAAAAAAGAAAGATTATAAACAAGAGTTCTAGCAAGAACAAGTGCTGCTTCACGTCCAGACCACAAGAAAATGCACCTGCAAGAACTACTATCGGTTGTGGGAGCTTAAAATTAAAGCCGCCCATGAATCTGTGAGTACAAATTAAAAGTCCAAAAAAATCAGGAAGGGAAACCTCCTGACGGTACAGCTACAAGATTACACATTTGATAACCTTCACCAGTGGCATCAAGCTCAGCTTTAATGGTGTGCTCCAGTGGTTTGACTAACTGATAGTAAAAAGCTCAAATCTATCAAGTGAGTCAAATGAACCTGACTGTTCCAATGACGAAAAAAGTCCTATGCATGCTCCAAGTGACAAATCTGCAGACACTTCATAGAAGTACAATTTTGCACCAATGAAAGAATGGGTATAGAGTCAAAAATGGTATAAATTTTGCACCAGGTCAAGATTTGCACCGCAAACCAAAACAACCTTATATAATATTTTTTTCATAGCCCAAAGAATCAATTTAATTGATTGTGCTGTACAAATTATATACATGGAAGGCTTTCCCTTGTCGTCTATATGCATTTACTGAGAAAGCTCAATCCCTAATAAATAATCATAGCCTATGTATCACGGGATACTTCACTTCAAGGTTCTCCTCCGTGGCTCAAAGCCAGAACCATGTTTGTATGCAAAGCGGTGCAGCTGATCATAACCTGCAAGGACTCCAGCCCCTGCCATACCTAGAAGCATGTTTGCAGTTACTCCTCGGAAAAGAGCAGCAAAACCCTCCTGGCGAACAATCTGTTGGAAGGCATGAAATGCATTACGATATTTGGAGGATTGTCCAGAGGTCAGCATCATTCTTCGCCTCATGGTATCAAAGGGGTATGCACAGAATCCAGAAACTGTTGTAATACTCCAACCTAAAAGGAAACTGGCAAGGAAATTTCCCTGTGAAAATCAAACAATATGAAAATGTACTCTGTCAAAAAGGAAAATATTGAAATATCATCACCCAACAAGATATTTTCATCATAATAGGAAACTTCTGCAATCATAATAATCTATAATACTCAAAGAAAAATATATACATATATATATATATATATATATATATATTGTTACTTGATTCTATGGCTCTAGCTCCTGAGTGACTAATAAATGAAGCAGATAGCAATTACATCAACCTTCACATATGTGAATGCTCAATGACCATCAACTCCAAGCTTCCCCCAGAATCAAATATATCAAAGATAAAACCAAACAGACTTCAAAATTGTTGCCTAAGTACATCAACGGAACTCCCGTGATTCTTAACTATTCAGATATATTAACTAGATTTATTTCCATAACAAGAATAGTTGTTACCTCAAATGGCCCCACCAGAACAATTGGCTTCATTGTGTCATAGATCCCAAAGTACATTCCACGGTAGAGGGTAATCCCCAAGATTGAAACACCAAATCCCCGATACAGGCCTACAACCCCATCACTTGACAGTGTCTTCCTATAAACATCTAATAGCCCTTTAAACTGGCGCTGACCATTAATTGAGCGCTGACCATTAATTGAGCATTCCTTTGCATCAGTTCCTAGTCGAGTACGTGCATAGTCCAAGTGATATAGAAACAAGGAAGTGGTTGCTCCAGCAGCACTGCCAGATGCTACATTTCCAGCTAACCATTTTGCATATCCATCTTTCTCTTTCGAACATCCAAACAGACTCTGGAAGTACCCCTTGAACGCAAAGTTGAAGGCCTGTAGGCAATACAACAATGTCTATTTGGTTATGTTAATTACGGGGTAGTTTTAACTTTTAATATATAGATCAAATTAAAACCTAATTTTTAATGTATCAATATACATGAGAGATCAGAAACTTTTGGTGGCATCTGGTATACATGATGTTGCATGTGTCCATCTCATTAACCATTGGAAGAAACCTCATTTTTCTTTAATATATTTTAGCTAAGTTGTTGGTCAAGAGGATCTACTGGGTAAAATTTGGCTAGCACCTGATGCCAGGCATGAGTAATAGTTACTAATTTACGAATTATGAACCATAAACCAAGAATCATAGACTACACCCATATTGATATGGATAAACAGCCTCAGTGCAGTATTAACTGAAAGAAATGTTATAATGGGGCAGAATTAATTTCCTTCTCCAGAATGAAAGTCTATAAGATGTGTAGTAAGTCCCTTACAGTACTAACTGAAGGAAATGGTATAATGGAGCAAAAGTAACTTCCCTCTCCAGAATGAAAGGCTATAAGATGTGTAGTAAGTCCGGCTACATTTCAGAAAAACGCCAAGGGAGGTAATCCATGTTGAAAAAGTGCAGCCAGAGCTCGAGAAAATCATTCTTGCACAAGATGTTATTTCATTCTTCCTTATCAAACCTTGCTTGACTTCCCTTATATCCAATATTTTTTTTTTTGATAGATCCCTCATGTCCAATATATGGTTCATTATATAAATTACAAAGACCAGAAACACATGGATTGTGACATTAAAGGTTGGTGCCTATACATTGACTTGTAAAACTCAAGGAAAAACAACAAAACAACAGAAAAAAAAAATGCAAGAAATAAAAAGTGGTGTTCTCCCCCTCCTTTTCTTTGTGTTTTTCAATCTATAGGAAGCTTTAATTTTAGTTGGATAAGCATATATTCTTTTCAGGTCAAAATTAAAATGTTGTTGGAAATTCTGAAACAAAATGTCACTTTTTTCCAAAGTAAAATAATAATAATAATAATAATGAATTGATTTAACTTCTTTCATGGCAATAGAATTTAGGCTTTAGGCTGTAAAGTGTAACGTACAACTTTAAGTAATAGGTAACTGAGATTTGGCCTCTTGGAGGGTGACTGACTGGAGCACGGAGATGTTCCCAATGTACAGCAAGCTGTAGTATCATGTGGGCAGACGTGTGTAGGATTCTAGTGGGCAGGAGATCCGGAGTCGACTGACTTCTCCTATAGTCCCCTCATAATCTCCGGAAACATTTAAATACGTGCATAGTGCATTAGATGAAGTAACTGAAAACCAGTTATAAACAGATCGAAGGTAACTCAACTCAACAATTGATAACCACTGGTAACCCGTTAAAACCTTGTGCAGGACTCAACATATGACAACTATCAGCAGAACTACATGTAGTAACCTACTAAAAAAGAACACAAATGAACAGACCTAACTAATTGAGCTTCTTTTTTTTTTTATCAATAACTAATTGAGCTTCTCGTAACCGATGATACGGGAAAAAGAGAGAATCAATTGAAAATATGAAGAAAACGATTCACATATCAAAAAATCGGAGAAGTTAAAGACCGAACTCCCAATCCGCACTCAAAACTAAAGACCATTTAAACCAGCAAAATGAGGCAATTTTTTAATTAAAAAATCAACACGGGAAATTTCAAGAAAAAAAATACAAATAGGTAAAAAGGGAATGGAAACGAAGCATTACCAGACTGGTATTAAAATCTTTAAAAGAGAAATTTTACCTAAAAAAAACACCTAAAAGGGAATCAAAAGGTCCGATCAATTCGATTAAATCGCATCAGAGAAGTATGCATAGGCAGACAAAAAGAAAAGAAAATACCTGGGTAGGGAAATAACGGATGACATTAGCCTGATTTCCTCTCCAAAAAGACAACACACCCTCCTCCCTGAGCACTCTCTTAAAGCAGTCTCCAATACCAAGATAAGGCCTCTGTAGATTTCCTCTCTTCAACATCTCTCCTTGGTTCTGTAATAAAAGCTTCACCCTTTCGATCGGTGCCACCGCGCTCTTCGATATCGATGCAGCGACTCCTGCCATTACAAAATCCGCGGAAAATCTCTCTGACTGCATACTCGGCTTCCCCATCTCTGTCTTTGTCTCTCCGCCTTCCTCTATCTCTCTCTAGTCTCTGGGAGAAATGAAAGAATCGACGGCAAAGGAGAAGACAAGGCAATGGATAACCGAAACTGACTGGTGCCGGATACACGTACACACCCTTGTTTCAACTTAACCCAAAATACTCATACAGAACCCAAAATGGCATTTAACTCAACTTTTTCAATCGCATAGAATCCCACGCCAACTCTACTTCTTTGTTTTGTGTATGAAGTGGTAATCCAACTTTGATTCTCCATCACAATTTCCCTTATATTTTTAATTTGAAAGTTACTAATTAACGTGAAGACTAAAATGACCCAGTTGGGGCCCACTGTTTTGATCTCTCCCGCTCTCCCTATCCCTCCTCTTTCGTTGTCCCTCCCACTTACAAGTGTAAATCGGACCATGCCGGGCCGCACAACGGTCTACAGGGGGCCTAGGATTTTAAGTTCACAGGCCGATACGGCATGGCATGATCGAGCGGGTCATGCCGCCCACGGCCCTCGTGTTGGCACAGCCCAACCCTTAGCCCGATCTAGCATGGCCCATATATATATATTTATATATTTTATAATTATATAATAATATATTAATAAAATAAATATTTTTTAAATTTTATTATACTAATTTATTTAATTATTGCATATATAAGCAATTTTATATATAAAATTAAAATTTTAAGTTTTTTTATCAATTTTTTTAAATAAATAGATTTAGCCTGATACACGGCCCAACTTGACCCAAGGTTCAGTCCATGGGCCAGCCCGGCCCGTGACACAGCACGACACGGGCCCACCGTGGGCCAGGCCGGGCTGACCCCCAAATTTTTCATCAGGGAGAAGGCCGTGCCCACTCTCAACTCTCCTCTTCCTGCAACGTTCCTCCTCCCAAACCCAGAACGCCTCTTTACTCTTGCAGAGTCAGGATTTCCTGCACTTGGTTATGTTGCACTCCCAATTACATTGAAACACGTCAGGCTTCGCATGGTATCCCAAGTCACATGTGCGAGTCATTTAACGGGACCGTTCGCATTATTTTAATATCTCAATTTTTTTCAAACTAAAGAATAAAAATAGATACTTTGACTGCCCAGCTCGATAGACGGTAAAAAATATAGAGAAAACTGTTCAAACCTAGCCCTTCTATGGAGCAGATGCCATTAACGAACGATTGTAGGGGAAAAAATTCTGGTGTTGATTTGTTTATACTAAAGTGCTAGCAAAGCTCCTCTATGGTAAACTTGCTTTCTCTAAGTCAATGTTCAGTGTTTCTTATTCTGCAAATGAGAACTGAAGCAACAAACCGGCAAATCTTGTTGTTTTGATGACTTTATAGTGTATACTCTATCCAATTGATTGAGGTAAAGATTCAGAAATCTTCAAGTTGAGATAAGTTAAAAAGCAAAATTAGTAGACGTTAATTACTCTGTAACATGCTTCCTAATTTGTGAAGTCTCCATTGTCTTTAATTCTGTTCATGATTTTTTTCTCAATACCATCATTAGAAAATAAAGTTGACATTTTATAAATTTGACTTAAAAAGGGAGTCATTACCGAATCCAGTTCATAATGGGTTGCAAGTGTTTTGAAAAAGCAGAGTACTCAAGTGAATAAGAAACGATGGGCACCAGGTTAGAGCTGGTTTTGGTTTGATTTGAGTTGGAGTGCTATCCAAATTCTAGCGTGTCCCAATTTGATTGGGAGTGCACCCTTGCACACACAAAACCAGGTGCAGGAAATCCCAACTCTCTTTTGCATTCTCATTCTCTCCTCCCTCCTCCTCCCTCTCTCTGCCTATGATGTCTCACTTTCGCTCTCCCTCTAAGATTGAAAAAATTGAGTTTAAATGTCATTTTGGGTTCTGTATGAGCTGGTCTGGATTTCAGAAACCCTAGAATATTGCTTAGAATGCACGGAAACCACTTTGTAATCGCTGGTAAGCTGTTTTCTGACTTTGCAGCATATGGCCAAGTATACGAGCTTAGTGCGACAACACGTAGACCTCAACTGGTGCAGACCGGCTAGAAGAAGGGTGGTACAACAGTTGCAGCAGCAAGTTCTTCCGTGATCTACTACTTCTGTTCAATAAAGCCAACGTCTTCTTCGCCAATAACTCCCCAGAATCTGTCGCTGCCATTGCATTAAGAGAGCTCGCCACTAGAGAGATGGTGAGCAAACATACTAGAAAACCAGATAGATCAGTTGATGAACCATCCATTCTTCTTCCATCTAAATTGAGTTCCGAGCTGACAGATTTGTTGTTTGTAGAACCTAAATCAACTGGTCCCATCATTGCTTGCCGAAAACACAGCTCCATATCAGCTAAGGCATCCACGGCAGCTATCGTGAGGAAAGGAGATCAAAAGTCGTCAACAACAGGAACAACAACGGCAATGATTGATGAAAAGCTTGTTATGGATACGAAGCAAGCCGAGGGCAACCTCTACTACTAGCAAGAATTTAAATGTGAATTCTAGCCAAAAACCAGGACATAACTCAAGCCATCCATCGAGCAAAGGTGGTGCAGCTCCTAAAGACAATCATGAACCCAAGGTGGAGAAAAAGAACAATGACACAACATCTGTTGCCAAGAAGCCTAGCACGGTGAATTTCTTGAGTAGGATGAAACGGAACTCTTCATCCAATGAAACATTGTTAGAGACGTTGAAGAGTTCAGTAAATGGTTCAAACAATAACAAAGGAGTTGAACAAAAGAAAAGCAAAGCAGCAAAAAGAGTGATAGATGGAAAGATCAGGCTACCCAACAAGGTCCGACAGAAAAGATGTTACATAACAGAGGAGTCAGACAAAGAAAAGTGTTGGACGTCCACCTAAAAGGGCATTGAGACAAACATCTCTGCCTCCTCCCGTATCGTCGAAGCGGGCGGGGAAACGAACGAGGAGGTGATGGCAAGTTCTGTAAATTATGTAGCGCTTTGAGTTGGCGTGGGAAATTTGTCCTAAGATTGAAAAAACTTGAGTTTAAATGCCATTTTGGGTTTTGTATGGGCTAGCCTCGATTTCAAAATCTGAAATGGACTTATCTGTACTTTTCCCAACAAAATAAGCTAAAATTTGAAATAAAAATAAGTCAAAATTTACACTTAAAATAATTTGTACTATCATAATTTTGCATCAGTGCAAATTTATTTGCATTGCAACCAAACACAGCCAATATGAACTTTTCTTATTTTCTAATTCTCATCCATTTTCTTTAGGTTGAGACTAGGGATGTCAATAGTTTAGGTTTGGCACAGGTTTGCCTCAACCCTAACACGACCCTCTAGTGGCCCACCCCAAACCTGACCTGACCCGGTTTAAAATGCATAATTTTTTAACCCAACTCAACCCTATAGGGTATAATCCGATACCAACTCAACCCAATCTGCAGCATTTCAACTATACTTTTTTAAACACGTTTTGAAGACTTAGAATTCATTAATTTAAGTTGGAAAATTCTTTTATAGATTCTAAAGTACCACTTTTACTAAACCAAAATCAACATGCAAATAAATCTTAAACTTTAAGGTTATAGAGCTAGAATTCAATAAGTTACAAGAATACTTTGTATATATAGGGTAACATGACTTGGCGGGTGAGCCAGTCAAAATCCCAACCCAACCCTAAAGCCAAATATTCTGACCCTAACCCAACCCTCAAGCCGGTTTTACCATTTAACCCAACCCATTGGCATCCTTACTTGAGATATTTTTCCTTTATCACATAAAACTCAATCAATGAAAAAAAAAAAGCATTTCTTTCAGAAAAAAAGAAAGTAAAAACTAAAACCATAGATATTGGATAAAAGAAAATTGGACAACCGAGCAAATGTTACAAGCATCTTCACGCATTTGTCATCCTTCATTAATACTTTGCTTTGCAATAGATAGAATCTTTATTTTCATAAGGAAAATTTATTTTTAGAACTATGGAGAAAAGTACTAAAAGAATCTCACAATATGAGAAAAATGCACTTTAAATATGTTCATCCACTACAACCCTTAGAAACTCAAGTTCATTTCATGAAATTGCAATAGTAATTTCAATATGAAGTTCATCATAGTTTAAAAGTTCAGGTAAATAGTATTTTTCTCTGGAGTCAATCATAATTTAAATGTTTAGAAAAAAAATAATCTACTTAAAACTCCAAATGAATATCTCTCTTTATTAAAATATGGAAATACCCACTCCTTTCTCCAATAAATCAGAAAAAACCAAATTGATGAGGAGTAATTTGGCACGACCTGGTAAATAAAAGTCACGTGGACACGATCTGAATGTAGGATGACAATTCAGCAAGGGGAGCCTCTATGCGAAGCTCGGCGTAAAGTCATTTCGGCAATAGCTCACCTTGGTGTAATGCTACCTCGGCTGCTAATCGAGTTCATGGCCCAGGAACCGAACTGACACGTAATAAATCCCAGTAGCTTCCCAACAAACTTCGGATATTGCGGGATCATACCGCATAACGGCAAGCCTTATCTTCTCCCCGTCCAAATCGGGCGGCGATAATGAAGTTCATTGACTGATACGTTACTCCCCGACTAAAGCGGGAACAGATCTCACCCATTCAGGCCATAGATCTCGGAACTATTCTGGGAAACCCGCAATAACTCGGCTATATAAAGGCGTCAACCCCTTCATGGTCCAGGTACGCGTGATTACTTACATCCAAACTCTTTAGCACTCAGATTCTAGCTCGCAATCACAACATAGTACTGACTTAAGCATCGGAGTGACCTCGTTGGGTTAACTGCCCTGGGTGCTCTAATCCTCTGTCTTGCAGCTTGGTCCAGCTCGCTACACGACTAAGGTCCAGATCATCCTCCAGCTAGGAGCTTCCAAATCGCGCACCATCAATTGGCGTCATCTGTGGGAACACGATCGAAAGGTCATCCCAATCTCTTTATAGTTTCAAACTCAATCTCAACCTCAATGGCATCTTCCAGCCACAACGGTAAGGGTAACATGAACATCACAGGGGGGCAAGAGCAACAGATAGTCACACACCAAGGACCCTCGGTGACAATTGGCCAGTTCACAGTTTTGAGGCATCGAACAACGAGGCGGAGTATGAGGCGCTAATTGCCGGGCTCAACTTAGCAAAGGAGATGGAAACGAAGCACTTCATCGTCTATAGTGACTCTCAACTGGTAGTTAACCAAGTCAATGGCGACTATGAAACTCGTGACTCGACCATGGCA